GGGGGGGGTGCCAGGGGGAGGGAGGTACAGACTCTGGCAGAAACTGAGTTGTATGATTCATTTCACACTGTGGAGCATGGCTGTGTGTGTAAATACAGGTCAAATGTGTCATGGCGTTGCTTCAAAAGAACGCCGCCTGGTTTGCTGCCTGAGGGCAGCTCTGACCGTTGCATCATGCAGCTGAGCTGTTCTGCCATGATATGAGCTTAAAAGTCTCATTGGGGCAGCCGTGTTAGTCTGTCACTAAAAAACTTAAAAAAGAACAATGGTCCTGTTGCACCTTAGAGGCTACCAAAAATATAGCTAGATCGTATGATGAGCTTTTGTGGGCATGACCCACTTCTTCAGAGGACAGAAATGGAGCAAGAGGGGCAGGGGTTGAATTATAAAGCAGAAAAAGAGGGGAGAGGGGGATGAGAAAGAAAGGGAAAAAACCCGTCACTTCCAGTGTCCGTGCTAAATCAGGCTAATGGAGCAGGCTGTCGGTGCCCGATACTTAGCTTCTGATGTCAGCTGGCTGCTGACAAAGGATGAATGGCACAAATCAGATATTCAAAATGGTAACACAGAGAAACCTGCTGGAGAACATTGTAACTTGCCCAGGCTCTCATGAATGGATTGAAAGGTGGATATTTCCTTACAAAACAATTCCAGGAATCAGCTAGATCAGGGTTACTCATTTCTGGAAGCCCCGGGGGCCACAGTGATACTCACAGCACGTGCCAAGGGCCACAACGTAAATGTGGTTGCATAGACATGGAAATATATATGCAAATATATGCAAATAGCTTCTTTCACAGCGACAGGCATGAATACAAAGATTAAGGCAGGACTACACAGCACGCAGGCCCCATTTCAGTCAGTTCTGCTGATAGTAATAAAATGCAACATTTATCCAATTTCCACCCATATGCCAGCACATGGTAGATTCCACTTTCCCAGGAGCCTTTAAGTCAAGGCCGGACACCTGTCGAACAGACACGCTGGAGCTCACAGAGATTGCGGGCTCAGCACAGAATCACTGCGTGAGGGTCCCTGGCCCGTGTCACACGGCAGCTCACACCAGGGGCTGGGGAAGGTCCCTCCAGGCCCCAGGAGTCTCTGGAGCCAGGAACATCAGTTCCCGGGGACCCGGGTGCGAGGATTCAGGAGAACGGCGGTGAGGGCAGAGACAGAACACACAGGGGCTGGAGAGCGACGGCTCCACCCTGCACGGCCCAGCAGGGGGCGCTGTGCTCAGTGCCATGCAATTCCCTTCCCGCCCAGAGCTCAGATCACCACTGCCGGGGCGCAGCTAGGAGGGGAAATCTGGGCGGGGCCTGACCTTCAGGTGGGGGGGCCATGCTGGGAGGCGCGGGAAGGGGACAGGAGGGAGGAGGGCGGCTCCCTCCCCACTTCCACCTGCCCCTTGCTGCTCAGCAGGCACAAGAGGAGTGAAAATACAGTGAGTGCTCAGCACCCCCAGACGCCTCCCCGACCACCTGCATCCCCCCCGCCCTCTGCTCTCAGCTCTTCTGCAGCATGCAGGGGGCGCTGGAGGGGAGAGGAAGGGGGGGTGAGTATCATAGTGGGGAGGGGAGGGTCTCCCAAAACAGCCTGCTGTGGCCCTGCCCACACTGTGCTCCCAGGAGGTCCGAGTTCCCAACCCCTTCGTGCTCTTTGTGGCCTCGGCTGGGGCTGAGGCCACCAAATGGTTTCCACGTGGGAG